CTTTGCATTCTTCGTATGGAGAAATACCCTCTGTCTTCTGTCCAGGTCTTCAAGCTTCCCAAAGGCATGTTCATTGTGATGAGAGAATCCATCCTTTTGCTACCAGTCACTCTTCTTCTTTTATGTTCACTATTTTTAAGCATTATGGTCATTTCTGATTCATGGGATCTTCTCTTACTATACTCATGATAAAGCAGCTTCAGTCTGCTCATTGTGCTTCAAGTGAATGTTCAGGTTGGATTTAATCAAGAATACACTTGTTTGTTACTCCTTGCTGTCCATGGAATTCTTAAGCCTTTGTCACCACCAATGTTCAAAGGCATCAATATTTTTCCTGACCTGCATCTTCACAGTCTAACTTTCACATCTTTGCAGATTCACAGCAGATAGCATATTTTCAACATGATGTCTGTTCTTAGAGATTAATCAGTTCTTTGAAGATATTTCCTAGGTCCTTCATTTCAGCTCTGCTAAACACCAGTTTGCAACATATTTCAGCAAAGTCACATTTTGCTATATCACCATCCTTTCACTTTGCTTATAAGTGTCTTCAGATCTTTATAATTTTCCACTACAAGTGTGGTGTCAAAGGTTGTGCATCAAAGCGAATCAAAGGTTGCTGACATTCCTTCCACCAGTCTTAAGTCTACAACTGTGTTCCAGTCCATCTTCTCTCATTATAGGTTCTGTGTATAAACCGAATATGTATGGCGATAATATGCATCCTTATCTAGCTCCGTTACCAATCAGGAACCAAGACGCAACCGATATGAAAATTTTGCCAGTAACCAGTACAATCTGCCAAAGTAATTGTATATGCTCAAAAATTAGGTACCACTTTAAGTTGAACGTTGCTTTATTGACATACAATTATGTGAATTTTTCCACACTCAACAGAAACAAAAGAAAAAAGTAATAAAAATAAAACAAGCATGCAATTATGTTAACTGGCGTCCCTAAATTGCAGATATGATGGTGCCCTCTGTTCAAAAAAGGGCTCAAACATGCCCCAAAGTAAACCAAGAGCACCAGCCAATGGTTCATGAAACGCTGTTTTGGCCGTCGCTAGTGCCATGTAATGAACTGGAATACTGTCAAAGGTGCACCTGTGCCTTGTTTTGCTTGGAATAGGCTCAAGTCCTCCTGGTGACCCTGACCATGAAAAACAATTGAAAAATGATTGGGTGTAGGGATCAAAGTTGCTTTTATGTGACCTGGAGGCCATCTGTCCCCAAGGACTGTCTTTTTGGCAGTGGTCTCAGAGAAGGTTCTTCCATGTATATGACCTCATGAAATACATGTTGGTTGTTGCCTTTGCTAGACGGATCTTCTGTGTATTCATTCCATCTTGGATTTTGTGGATGTTCTGAAAAACAACCTGTGGTTTTCAATGTTTATTTACTTATTCAATAACTTTGCCAACACTGTAATAATGTTGGTCTTCGGAATTTGTGATTCCCTAATAGATCTTTATCTTTCTTGATTTTGGCTTTTCTTCTCTTCTTTGCAGTTTATGGTGTGCTTTTTTATCGTCCTTTTTAATTTTTTTGGCTCTTTCCGTTTGATCAATTTTTTTCTCAGATTCCTCTTGAATGACTTCCTTAAATTCCATTCACAGCTTGTCATGTTCTCCATCAAGTAAGCCCCACATGTTAAATAACATCACACTATTATACATTAAAATGTAAAACTTCAGAGTACATCAAAACCATTTCTGTGGCTTACACTAGAAATATTTTCAATCACAATTTCAGTTCCTTAAATGCAACTTCACCTGCTGCAATGATGACATCACCATATGGTTAATTAATTCCCCAAACCTGAGGCTCATATCTTTGTTATAGTGGATTAGTCGTCTTGGCTGGTAAGTTGTGGTACACTCTTTGGTGTGTGTCACACCCAGCATCAATGCAGGGATATACAGTGCCGACAATTCTCCTTGCCTCGGCCATCTACATTCACCATGCTGCTGTTATGTAATTTTGTCTCTCTATTTCTTCCAGTCACCATGGAAACCCAGCAGGTTGACACAACATACAAAATAGAATGAGGGGACACACAGGCAACAAAGGTGGACCACCTACTTGAGACAGAGCATTGTTACTAGGCCAGGGTTACCTATGAAGAACACCAGCACTTTTTACAGGAAAAACAATATGCAGAGAAGACTCCTCCAACAGAGTAACCCAGTGCTGATGCACTTTCATATGCTTACAGAATAAAAATACAATCGTTATCTTATTACTATTTTTAATAATGCTTTTCAGCTCTACCCAATACTTTTGTCCATCTCACAAATGTTATATGCCATTGCTGGGAAAAGTCAGGTTTGCTACAGGTTTGATACGAGGCACGAATTTTCCAGGAAGTCTTTCGGGAGAGTTTCGCAAACAATTTGTAGCTTCAATTGCATTCGTTCATACTGTTTTTATTTCACTCCTATGCAGAGAAGAAACGATGCACATGGCATCCATACACGAACCGTCCATGATGAGCTTGCTCGCTTCCTGTCGCATTTACGGAAAGCGCCATAAACTGAAATTCTTTAAGTGCAACAACACCTGACAGAATTACAGTATTTGAACTCCAGCACTGAACAATAAATTTGTTCAGTTGATTTACATACACATAAAAATGTGCAATACGTATATTATGTCTCTTTTAAGTTAAATTAATATGCACAATTTCTATATATGTGCCACTGTGAAAGGAGCCTGGACCACCCTGACAGCTTGTGTTAGGCCAAAACAACAAAGGGAGTTTATACATTTGGTGTGTGTGTGTGTGTATATATATATATATATATATATATATATATATATATATATATATATATATATATATATATAATTTGTTTGCTGTTTATGAATTTTCCCAAGCACCTAGCTCCATTTTGGTTCCTCAAACGGCTTGCCTACTCTGAACCCTCAACATAAAGCGCAGCCCCCGCTAGACAAGTAGAAACTACACCGGCGAGCGGCTTCGGGCTAAAATTCATTTCACGTTCGAGAAAAAAATGCGGATTCTCCCCCAAAAAAATCAATTTAAACATTACAGACGAATTCCTACGTGCATTGCATAAGATGCTTCACGTACCACCGTTTGTTCTCTGGGAATCACGAAGCACGGATGTTAATTTTTTTATTGCTGTCAACTAAACGTAACCCCCCCCCCCCAGCACACACCTAGACGCGATTCCGTTCTCTAGCAGGGGAATCCGGGATCCACTAAATGGCTTGAATATTTAATGGCCAGACCTCAGCTTAATGACCGCACGCGCCTCAGCAGCACGCGAGCCCAAAGGTTCATATGACAAAGCTAACAGCCGCAGTCGGCATGCTACTGCGGCCGAAAACAGCGTGCATATATGTAATTAGATTCATTTACCCTTTAGGCGAGCAGTATGTCGTTTATTTCCCCATCTACTGTCGAAATCAAATCCGCCCGGTGGATTTTTTTTTCTGCGGAGATGCACTTCGTCAAAACAGCTCCTCTCTTTCCGCCCCCAGCCGTCTTATTTTCGCCCTTATCAACCGACTGAGGCTGAGGCTCGGATGGATGAAGCTCCTCCCCTAGCAACCAATCACGATCGACTGGTCCAGAAGCGGAACCACCGCATAAGCTTATTGGCGCCGCGCACGTCTATCAATTGGGACACAACTTTAGTTTTATTCCGACGCCTCATAATAAAGAATACACGCTGGTCTCGGGTGCGGACTGGGGACGTTTAGATTCTAAATCGGTTTAAAGACAAAGCGATTTTCAGCTGTAAGCATAGGCTTAATTTTAATAGTGATTAAATGATTGTTCGTTAAAGAAATTATAACTAGTGAATATTTCACCTTCGCGCACTTATTGCTAACGCACAAAAGCATTTTACCCAATTCCTCATCTAACTGTGTTCTGTGTAAATTCAAAAAGTGAAACGTAAACTAAAAGATTGTAAAAACAAGTGGTTAATCCAATCGTAGCCAGGCAATGAAGACCATAAAACTATTAAAACCATTAACTAATTTCAAGTACGACTGTAGCATATTTTACATAAAACAGTAATTATTCTACAGACGTCAGCGACATTTTGTTGGATAATTAATTTTAAATCTCTAAACTTCTTTCGAACCATGCGACTGCAACAATGAAAACCCGATTAACTACAAAATATGTTAATCTGTTATTAAATGTGGAAAAATACATAGTTTGAAAGTGCTTTACGTTTTTGACTGTTATGTTCAATTAAAAATGGTCGTTACTATTCTTCAGTAAGAAGCATTTTGATTGTATTATATTGTTGAAAAATGAAGGGACATAAATTTTGGCATAAAGGCTTTTTCAGATGGCGTAATAAATTCAATAGCCCCGTTTTATTACCCCTAATTTATATTCGTACACGTGCAGAACACACCCAGCTTTGTAATTACAGTGCTGCACTGTACACCTGCTCCCGATTCCGCTTTTTTCGGTAAGGTGCAACATATGTAAATTAGCCACCAGAGGGAGCCACACCCCATATATCACTCACACAGGACCACGTTACACGCTTCGCAAGCGCACTTGTCTCACAATTGCCCTCTTGACACACAGTCATCCACTTCGTTTTGGGGGGAAAAAAACAAAAATTAAATCTTGTTCACAGAATCGTCGACATCTCTGCTTCGTAAGCTTCCCAATAGAAATACTATAAATATCCGTAACAAACATATCACTTCTGGTCCCGATGATCATAAAAATCAAACGAACAGTGTAGATTATCATGTAAATGTTAGCGACATGTTAGTGACCATGCAACAGGATTTTTACTATTCTCACGTCTCATTTAATACAAAGAGGTAGAGATATCAGTGTCTAAATTAGTTAGTCAGCCACTGTGTGCGTTTTATCTTTGACCCGCCCTAATCCAGCCCTTCAAGGTGCAGGCCACCTGTTTACGAGTACTGTGATTGCAAATGGCGCAGGAATGGGTGTTTTGATGGCTCAGGCAAATGACCACTCATCAACAGGTCCAAAGTCAGCTTCCCTTTATTGGGGGCTTTCTGGTTCTTACATGATGTCAGAACGTCACAGACGTACAGTGGACCCAAACCTACACACCACAATCTAAACTGCCGGTTTTTGTGAAGCATAGCCAAAAAATCAAGATGTCGCGTCGGCCATTTTTCCATCTTTTATATGTCCTCATGACCCTGGTCACAAAAGTGCGCACACCCCCTTTGAAAATGGGGGCTGTAGCAGTCTTCAGAGGTAATAAATCACATCCAAAATATCTGAAGATAAGTAGAAACATCTGCCATCATGACGTTGACCCCAAATAAAAACAAACTATTCCTGCAGGAGACCCTTGAAACTTTTACGGTCGATCCCGCTGGGTCAGCCGTGATCTGCATGGGCTAATAAAACATCTATCAGATCTTATTGATAAAAGGTACCCATCAGGAGGTGTTTTTCATTTCCTTTACTTGTTCTAATAATATGTTATCTAATTGGTTTTCACTTTTATTTTGTTGGTTGCAGGGTTGCATTAAAGGTGGAAAAATGTCTCATGTTTTAAGTTGATTTCTGGCTTCACGTCATGAAAGCCTACAATTTAAATAATGGTGCATAGACTTTTTATGTCCATGGTGGGCTGAGGGCAACAGCATGTTCAGATTTGAATATCCCATTTGTTTCTGAATTGCAGCTTGGACAGAAGACAAATGAGATGGGGTGGGGTGGAGAAAGGAATGATGCCTACACATGGATAGCTTGTGGGTGCACAAGGGTCAACAGTCATGACAGTGATGAACCATAACTCCAGCTGCTGATGGAGGAGGAACATGACAGGACACCAGAGTTGGGTAACAGATCCAGAGAGCAAAAGTCCAGACCAGGATTTTGTTTCAACCAACCAGTTGAGCATAAACAGTCACAGTCACAAAGTACTCAATTAGTTGGTTGAAACAAAATCCCGGTTTGGATTTTTACTCTCTGAACTCTGCAGGACACTATCATTCCTAAAAGTCATATGGAAATGATGTCATACACAGATTAAACATATTTCGCAGCACAAGAACACACAATAATTTTATAAATAATGGTCACATTGAAAATATTTAAATTAACATTCAAAATTTTACATGCAAGGATGCTGTGCACATTTAAGTCATCTATGCTCTGTTTTGGTCTGTTTTTTGGCATATATCGGCAGTACCCAGGTTAAGAACGTCCGACTTACAGACAACTCATACTTACGGACTGCCATAAAGCATATTAAATTAGAAATTCTGATTAAATACAATGGTTTGGAATGACAAATACACACACAACTTTGTGACTTTGTGAAAACAATGCACAGCATTAGCGGTTCATCAGTTCAAAGTACAGTACAGTATATAGTTTTATTATTACTGTATAACTAATATTATTATGTACTGTTCTATTATTTTTCAACTTACCTACAAATTCAACTTAAAGACAGACTTAGGGAGCAGATCTCATCCGTAACCTGGGTACTGCCTGTAAAAAGCTGCCTGTACAGAATAATCGGCTTCTTCAAAACGAATCTCCAGGTGCCACACAAAACATATAGTCATCTACATGGCATACAGCACGCCCCCCATCCTACGTCTCTCCTCCGAGTCGAGATGGGAAGGTGTTGGCAGGTTTCTGACCTTTCCAGCTGACTTCATAAACTTCAGCCTCTTGTATGAGGGGCATGGCACTTTGGGAAGGGCTGTTGCCTTAATCCTCTTCTCCTGGTAACTGGCCAAAGCCCAGTGCTGCCCACTGCCTGATCATCCATTCTTGTAGCTACCCCAGCTGGATGACAGTGAAGCCCACTGATGCTTTTGGCGAACTGTAAGAGCAGTTTAACCACAAACGCACCGTAGGAGCTACAAAGAAAATACATAAAATAGTGAATAAATAATAATTGCATATACCAGCGAAATATCATTTTCCATGTACAAGTAAGTGCACATTTACTACTCACAGAACTGTTTAAACCCGCTTTTAACACAGCGTAGCAAACAGTTTATGGATAAACAATATTAACCTTCACTGAGTTTTAAAACAAACAGGAAACTTTAACAAAGTACAGACAACATTTTAGACACGATTTAAGCATAAAAACCTCATTCTCACTCCAGCTAGGCGCAAACTTGCAAAGAATATTCGGTAAACAGCAATTCCACATCCTTTCATCAGTTCTAGTCACACCAGAATAAATCAATTTACCTGCCTATGGGATCTTTAACAATTAACATGAAGGTGGGGGTAAGGTTTTAACAGACTTCTGAATGAGGAGATGATTAGGAGTGAGTGAGACTGATCGGGTCCGAAAGATTATCAACAGTAAGTAGGCGACTATTCACGATTGCCATGGTTTCATAAAGAAATGCATGTAAAGAGGTATCATTTAGCCTGCCAGATGAGAAGTCAGTTGTTGTCCCGAGAATGTTTCTGACTGTCCTTATCTGTCTCTCCCATATGCCACCAACATTGCTTGCATACAGGGCATTCATACTAAAATCGCATTGCTTGTCAGCAAGGAATGAAGCCAAACATTCTGAATTAAATTTCCTTGAGGTCCATCCTGAATTCCTATTTTACTCCAACAAAGTTGCTGCCCTGATAAGGCGAACTGCATCCCATATCACAATGAAACATTGAAGACTGGTAAAAAAGTCAGGAGACATGTCTTCAAGCATTTCCAAGTGAGTGGCACAAGAGTAATGAGAAGTAATGAGAAGGCCATACCTCTTGTGCACCTTCTGTTCCTGTTTGGTCATCAATGGCCCGAAACAGTCCATTCCACAGTGAGTAAATGTGATGGTCCTACATGTTCAGGAGGCAAGTTGGCCATCTTCTGTTCCACTACAGGCTTCCTAAGCCTTCTACAGTTCACACACTGATAAATGAATGATGATACTGTGTGATTAATACCTGGCATCCAATAGCCCATTGACCTGATTTCATTAAGAGTGAATCCTTTACCTTGATGCTCAACCTTTTCATGACAATGAGCAATTATTATTTTGTGACACAATGATCTTTGGGAAGAATTGTGGGATGCTTGAATGATGTGGGAATGGATGAATTACACGATCTTCCTCTCACCATAAGCAAACCATCCTTGTTGAGGAAGGGATTCAAACAGTATAGCTTATTGTGGGATTGGAGTGAAAACCCCTTACTCAGCAAATTCAACTGATTTTAGTATACCTGCCCTTGAAGATCTTTGATTATTATACGTTCTGTGTTTGTTTCCGCTAGGGTAGGGAGATCGCTGGATTTATCCTTGCTGATGCGTCTAAGAATATGTGCAACAGCTCATGTCCAGCAAGATTCACTCGTTCAGTGGTTCTGATTTTTGGAGATTGAGCTTTTATGATTTCAAGGTCTCCAACTGCCAGCTCTGAGATGACATGTTGTGACACTGTTTTGTTGTCTTCTCTTTCATCACTGAAGTCAGATACGAGAACACAAATAGCATCTTGAGGAGTTGCTGGATGTAGTTCTTTGATGGCCACACAATGGTAGAGATTACTGACGATAGGCTTATCAAACTCTGGTGAATATCAGCCCACAATGCTCCATCCTAGATCCATAAGAATGGCATATGGTTCATGAGTTTCTCCTAAGGTTACTTGATTTGGTGCCATGGGTCTTGAGCATTTACTGCCAATCAACAGTCCAATGGCACATTCTTTGAGAGGTGGAACTTAATCCGCTATTTTGGAGAGGTTTCACATGTAGGTATGCAATCCTTTGGCGGTGGAAGGCTGGAGGAAGATCAATGTAAACAGCAGAACTGTATCCTCTAACACAAAGCCCTAAGACTTTTCACTCTGACGAAGTGTGTAATTTTCATTCACCGGGGTCAGTCTTAGCTTCACAGGATAAGTTTCAGCTTGCTTACTCCCTGTTCGATAAAGGTGGTGTCACTCTGAGTGTTGAGCAGAGCGTAAACAAGTCTTTCTGTCTATGGATCACTCTTTGTTGACATCTACTCTGCCACAACAATAGAGGTGTAAAGGGAGCTTTCTGCAGTTAGACAGAGTGATCTAACAGCTGCTGTTTGCCTGGTCTTGAGATAAAACTCTGAGAGAGGCACAGACTTCTTTATGTGCAGATAGCTGTCATCATGGAGGCAGGTGTGGTGCTTACCATTACAAATGTCACACAACTGGCGATGACGACAGTCCCTTGCATTGTGGCCAAATTTTAAACAGCCATAATAGTGTTTCCCTACTTTTAAATATTTTTGTCACTCCTCTAAGGACATTGCTGCAAACTTTGGGCCGTCATGATGCTGGTATATATTATCTTGGCAAAGACAACATGTTTTTTCATCCTTCCTTGATGATGTTTGACCCTTGTCTTCCATAATTGTTAGACTGCCAAAAACTCTACTTTGGCCTTCCTATACTCTCAAAATCTTTGGTTCTCAGAAAATGGATCCAAAGAATGTTGAGCATGAAATGAAGTCACCTTTGCTTTAGTGAAAATGAAGGCAGCAAAGTCCTTGAAACTGGGGACTTCTTGCTTCTCATTTAACATCTGGGTAACCTGTCTGTTTCATCGAGATGAAACCCTGTCAGGAAATTTTTTTAACAATCTTTTGGTTTTCTTCATTATCATTCAGTATTTCAAGGCCATTTTCTTGTGGCTTGGCGTCTTGACATGCATTCAGAAAATCTGAAAGCTCTCCGAGTCCTTGAGCATCCTTTGATTGAATTTTTGGCCGTTTTTAAAGTTTTGCTCTGAACACTCTCTGAATAAGAAGTAGTTGACCATAGCGCTGATTCAGCTTAGTCTAAGCTTCTCGGTAAGCTTCGTCATCATTTCTGTAAAAGGTGCCATCTACAATTTTGTGGGCTGGACTACCAACATGTTTCTTCAGATAAAAGCTTTTCAGCAGACGAGATGTTTCTTTTATGAAAGAGAAACTTGAAAGATGATCCCCATTGAACACAAAGGGTCCAGGGACAGGTAGCCTGTTCATTGTGATACTGTCTTAAAGTGCTTGAGCTAAGGTGAAAACATCCATGTTAGGAAATCTTCTGTTATGAAACTGGGGAATTGCATTTGGATAAATGTTGCGTACAACTTCATCAGGTTTAAGATTGCTGTGATCAGAAGATGGGACAAAGGTTTCCTGCTTTACTTCCCGTTCATAATCTTTCAGTCTGTCTTGCAGCCTTTGGTTCTCTCTCTGCCTTTAGATGCTCCAACTCACATTGTTGAACTTCCAGTGGTCTCTGCTGTTGCTCTATTAACTCCCTATGTCCCTATTTCCTGTAAAGCATCTCATATTCTGCTTTCTTTATTGTCAACTTGGCAGCTGCCTCTGCCCGTTTGGCTGCCACCGAGCTCATGATAGAACGACTGGAATTTGTGATTTGTGAGGCAGCAGACCCATAAACTGAATGTGTATAATCACGATCAAGTAGCTCATGGAGGTGGCATCTTTCCTGTTCTTCATCGAACTCCTCAATTCCTGCTAATCTCTCATAAGTAATTTTAATGAGGTCTGCTGTACCTGCAATGCAAGTATCGACTCGCCACCTCACCTCAGCTGAAGGTGTGCTTTGTTGCCAAACTTCAAGATAAATCTTCATTATGTCTTCCTTACCTTTCTCCAACAACTCAGAGATCCCAGCTGACTCTCTGGAATGTTTGATTTAGGTTGATCCAGGCTGATGAGCTTGGATTTTCCATTGGTCATAGAGAGCAGCCTGTTCTTCCTTGTTTATACCTCTACTCCTGAAAATGCAAGCATCTTTTACATCTGGTTGTGTACTCGAGTTGAGCGTTGAGGGGTAGACAGCTCTTGAGCAACTTTGTGAAGCTTGCATTGAAAAGCAGATGAAGCCCATTCCATGGCACCAATTTCGTCTTTCAGCTGAAGTCCTTCTACATCTGTTGCATCTGTCGCTTCATGTAGCATAGTCTTCAGCTTCAGTATTTCGTGCTGGATACTGTTAACCTGCTCTTCAGACCAATCTCCACTACAATGCTGCATAACTGGTTCAGAAATGTTATACTACAGAAACACAATAGAGTCACTTCCAAACATAACAGCAAAAACCTAAGGTTATTATAAATGAAAACATTAGCAAACCACACTCACAGAAATGCATACATTATCATATATATATACCATAAATAAAAATTGAATTAATGCAATAGCCCTTTTAGTGCAATAACAATTACCGAACACAGCAAAAATATATCATTAATATCAAATGTCCATGTATAATGGTACAGGACTTTCCTTTCCTCCTCTTACAGGTTAAGATGAAATGTTATATTAGCATCCGTAAATTGTTTACAACCTCAAACGAAAAAATGCATCAGTCAGTTTATTAATCTTCTTCCAAATGCTCACAGTTTCGTTGAATTTGATAATATGTAGAGAAGGATGCATTTCTGACAATATCTGCCCAATCGCACCTAATCCCTTTGATTGCTGTGCAATACTGTCACCTTGGAAGACGGGGAGTCAGTGCCTGAGATGCAGGGCCGCTTTAGAGTCTAACACGAGAAGCTCCAAGCAGACGAAGTACTGTAGCAGCAAAACACTATGACGTTTCTTCCGGGTCGATACCCGTGAAGGAGACAGCAACCCAACGGGATTGGCATGGCTCGAGCTCTTACTGTGGCTACCCCACCTGGACGACAGTGAAGCCCACTGATGCTTTTGGTGAACTTTAATATCAGCTTAATCACAAATGCACCGTAAGCGCTACAAAGAAAATACACAAAATAGCAAATAAATAATAATTACATATACCAACAAAATATTTTCCCTGTACAAATGAGTGCACATTTACCACTCACAGAAGTGTTTAAACCCCTTTTTAACACAGCGTACCAAACAGTTTATAGAAAAAAATATTAACCTTCACTGGGTTTTAAAACCAACAGGAAACTTTAACAAAAAGGTACAAAGACAACATGTGAAGCACAACTTAAGCATAAATACCTCGTTCCCACTCCAGCTAGGCGCTAACTTGCATGGAATATTCAATAAATGTCAATTTTGTGTCCTTTTTCCAGCTCTAGTCGCGCCAGAACAAACCAACTTACCCGCATATGGGTTCTTTAACGATTAACAGGAAGTATCAAAATAAAAGTACTGTATTCCCTGCAAGCTCTTTCAAATTAAAAGCAGAGAAAATAACATGCAAATATAAAACCACTTTACATAAAACAAGAAATACCACATACCAAGATTATATTAATTTAAGTGTCAGCTACACTTGGTGTTTATGTCATCGACTGTGGTCCTAGGCAAACAGGGCTGAGGATGGTAGTAGGCTCGCTGGGAAGCTTCCACGTACAGGCCTGAGCTGGTCAAGCTCTTGCGGTCCCTCTGGAGGACTCGGTGGCGCTGCCAGCGATATAGCAGCATCTCCACCTGCTCACGGAAGAAGCTGGTGGTCAGCGTGTAGAGGATGGGGTTCAAGGCACTGTTGATGGGCAGGACAAAGATCACCACCCAGGAAGTGATGCTGTCTGAAGGGCCAATGAGAAGACAGCGTAAGAGGCCTTCACAGCGGCAAACAACAGCATGCTGAGAGGGAATTCCTTCACACTTAATGGATCAGAAGACTACTACTAAAATTTTCACACGGACGCACACTCAGGTTGCTGTAGGGGTGGGCAATGTTGCCCATTCACTGACCTGGGATCTCCACTTCCAGCAAGGAGAGGATCTTCACCAGGAAGATAGGGATCCAGCAGAGGGCGTTGGAGAACACGATGAAGAAGAAGCGCTTAGCTACAGCGATGTCGCGGTGCAGCCGGCTGCTCAGGTCGGCCGCGTTGAGACCCGTCTTGTAGATGGAGTAGAACATGCTGGAGTAGGAGACGACTATAACCAGGAAGGCGGCAAGATTAAGACCTGAAAAATACACACACAGAAGCGCCTCTGAGCAGAGAGTACCATGACTCCGGCAAATAGATTTATTGCATGTTCGCAACATCTTTCCCTGTATAAAATCCAAACTGAATGTAAGTAACATGTATGTACAAATGACCTAATGTCATATCTGATTGATTACATTAAGATGGAGAGAAATATATGCACATTTAAAGGTTGTATTGAAAGCTAATGGGAGGAAGTGGATGCCTCAGCAGGTTAGGATCCTGTGCCTGTGATTGGAAGATCATGGGTTCGAATCTCAGGCCACTGGGCTGTTGAGCAAGACCCTTGACCTCCAGTTGCTCCAGGGACTGTCTGACCTTGCTCTGACTACTTTGGATACAGCATCTGATAAATGTAATATATGCAGAATTAGCAAATTATAATAGGTTTAATAATGAATGCTGAGGTTCACAAAAGTTTTTACATTTTAATGAATTGCCTATTTTAAATGCATGATCCTGAATTTAATGTGAATTTTATTTCCACAATGCCAAATTTGAATGGAACCAGATTTCTATCTGCACCATTATCTATCTGGACCAGGCTGAGGGGACGCCCACGTAACACCTGGCTGTGGCAGGTGGATGGTCATTTCTGGAGGGTGGGACTGCACTGTGTACCTGCCTGGGGGGTCGCCAGCCGGGATCCCGAGGAGTTTCACTGTATGGTGGGAGCGGCAACGCGCTGCATCAGCGCACGCTCCCCAACCCGACCTGACCTGACCATTATTGCATTATAAACTCATCCTTCATTCTGTGTATGACTAAGCAGGTCGGCAGGGCGATATGTCAGTTTGCCACAGCAATGACATCACCCTCCCTGATCAGGCCGTGCGTTTCTCCGTGGGAGGGGGTGAGGGGGGTGCATTAAGAGTAGACCCTGACATCCCTCAGTCCCCACAGCACTTCCCACAGCCTAACCCTAACAGAGATTTTGGCAGAACAAGCCATGCATAAGTGCCAATGAACTAAGTAAGGAGTAATTACAGGGATTCACAAGGATTGCACACTCTCCCTGTGATAAGATTTTTATCTCAGAAATCGCTAAATGGATTTAAAATAATACATTTTCAGGGGCCTCATACTTCTGGGAACATGGTTCGAGTCTCCACCCTGCCTCCACCTATGTGGAGTTTGCATGTCCTCCATGTGTCGCCATGGCATCCAGGTTTCCTGCCCCCCC